CCCCACTTCATCCCCACACTCCCGTGTCACCCCACACAGCATGGTGAGACCCTCTCTGCCTTCCAAAGCCCCTCAAATCATGCTTAAAACCCAACACCCATACAGTTCCAATCAGTATGCAGTAACTGTGCAAATCTCTCACACAGGCAGTGAGGAGGCAAAGCCAAGTGTTCAAACTTAAAGAATATGCTGAGCTGCTCTGTCTGTGGAGTAGCCACTCTCAGTCCCACTGCTTCACTAATAAATTCTCTTTCTCTTTAAGCTAAAAAAGGAAAGAGGGAGGGAGGGAGCTGAGCGCCATCATGAAAGCAAGGAATCCCATTCCTCTCAGCAAGTACACATACAAGACCACTAGCTGGTACTGAACCTATGCTCTAACCACTTTCCTCTATGCCAAATGCCCCCCCTCACCCCCATCCTCAGCCACACACTCACCCTTCTTGACGGCATTGACCTCCAAGGGTTTCAGCCCCAACTTCGCCCGGAGTTTACTGAGGACAAGAGATACAAGTGTTAGGAGCTGTTAAAAAAACCGGGGAACCAAATGCATTTCTGGATAGACGGGTGAAAACAGGATGGGACTGAGTGGTCCTAAGGGTCCCAAACACAGGGTCTGACCCAGGAAGCCCAGGACACTGGGAAGGGCACTGGTTTCCAAATCAGGGAACACGGGCGCTAGGCCTGGCCTGTCCCTAGCCAATGGAATGCCAGACTTCCTCTCGGGCATTAGTGTCCTCTTATAACTCAAATGGTTGGCTACTGTGATTTACATGGCACTTCCAGATACAGCCAGAATGCCTTCGAATGTGAAAGCCTCCCTAAGGCAGCTGCTGCAGCCCTACCTGTTTCAGACAGAAAAGTGGAGACAAAGGAGGTAGCACTTACTTAGTCTCCTCGATGCTAAGTGATGAGGCATCTCCTGAGCTGGTTTTGGAACTGGCAGCTGGAACAAGAAGCATGGCTCAGGAGCTGAACACAAAGCCAAGAAGCCGTATCTTCGGCCTGAGCTGTGGGGCCAAAGAAGAGGGCCCTTCACCAGCACCAGGCTTTGCTGAGACACCAGAAAACAGCAGCAATCTCCCACCCCAGTAACTCCTTCTACCTGAGTCTCCATCTCTGGGAAGCCCACCTCTTCTACATACTTGCCTTTCTTGATCCAAAATACCCAACTTTCTGCATCCCTCACTTTGCTACCCTTTCCCTTTTGTGTATGCTGTTTTCAGCCCCGCATTGCCTCACTCTGACGAAGCCCTATCCAAATGCAACCTCGTGCATGAAGTCCTATTCAATTTTTGATCAGAATGAATTGCTCTCCCCAAACTCCACAGCACAGTTGGTCATTTCTGGGTCTGTTACTCCCCCACAAGGCAGGGGCCATGTTGGCAGCATGACCGTGTCCTCTGCAATTCATGCAGTCAAGAAACACAGTTATTGGTGCCTACTCTGTACTGGATGTTGCAAACACAGAGATAAAGAAGCATTTCAAACTTCCTCCATCCACCTCACAAACAGCAAATAACTTCACTGAACAAAGAGAAGCTCAACACCCTCAGATGGAGCTCCCCCAACCAGCCGCCACCACGCGCTCATCCTTCCTGCATTCCCACCCCACAACCTGCCTCCTCCCCTTTATCCCACCTGGCCCCTGGATCCCAGTGCCTCCAGAGTCTCTTCAAGGTCTCCAGCCTCCTTATTTCTAAATCCAATGGATTCTTTTCCTGCTTTTGCTTGATCCCCTGTGGTGTGTACCACTTCTGATCACTTACTTCTTCTAACAATACACTTTTCCCATAGATCCCATAACACAAGATTCTGTGGTTTTCCTGCCTTTTTGGCTATTCTACCTCCTTTTCTGTAGTGTTTTGCTCCACCTACTACTAAAATATTAGCATTTCTCAGGTTGTACTCCTGACCCCAGCTTCTCACTCCCCACTCTCAAACTGCTCTTTGCCACCTCTCCCAAACTGCTCTATCCAGCCCAAACCCTGGGTTTCTCACAGGTTTCTCCCATACACGTCAAATGCAACACTCTCCAAAACTTAATTATCTTGCCTCAGAAGGCTGCTTCTTTTCCAAATTCAACTTCAGCGGATGACACCCCCCCCCCC